CGGACTATGGTTAACGGAACACAACGCGCAATGCTGGCCCGATTCCACTCTCTGGGCAAGTGACTCAGCTCCACTTGTGACTTCTCTCCTTGTTACATTGGTCATGGTCGGCTGCAGCGAGGTAGCACGGCCCGGTTCACGGGCTAGTTTGGTGTCGTGCGTGGTAGGTGTGCTTCGCCGTCTTGTCCGCTTGTGGTCGGAGGACACGTTGATCGACTTACGCGTGATGGGCCTGTGCGTCATGCGGTCACGTTTGAATAGGCCGTGTAGGACGTGCTTGGGTCGTCTGAGTGAGTGAATTGATCTGGCCGAGATGTGATGGCGATCGTGAAGTTTGCTGGGCGCTTGAGTGCGCAAGTTAAAAATGAATTTCTTCTGTAACTGTTATGCACAGTGGTGCTGTGAAGCGACTGAAGGCTTGTTAGCAAGCGGAAAGATTTCTCTATCGAATGATGTAAAAATCCGAAGGGTTGTAAAAAAATCCACGAAAAGCTGCGAATGGAGAGGTTTTGCGTGTGAATTCACTGACAAACTCCGCGAAAAACACAGACACAAGCTAGAGGTTGAAGCGATGGGAATAATCCGGGTGAAATGGATCCACCGTGTAGAGAAGCTGATTCCGAGTAGAATGAATGCACGCTAGGTGATATGCAGTGAAATGGTGATGAATGGTCCACAAAAAGGCGAGAGCCGCGAGGATACGTGTCACCTTAGTGTCCTCCCGGACGAGTCTGACACAGTGGTTTCTTTGTATTGTGTAGACATCCCAGGAATCATCGTTCGGGGAAGCTATGTAGGTGTGCCATGCCAAGTCCCTATTACTCTGCTAGTATTGTGACGCACGCAATACGAGACGAAGGTGACCATACGACAGCACCACGGTCCAGAGAGAGAGAGGGAGAGAGAGGGAGAGAGAAAGAAAGAAAGATAAAACATAGATCTTACGCGAGCACACTTATACTGACCCCGCAGAATAGTGGTGAAGGTCAAGAGACCGTCTAAATTTTGTGGGGATGAGTTTCTTCACGAAACCATGCAGCGTCGTGGTTTGGAATTCTCATGGCTACCCCGTGACGGTCCCGTAACCATTTGTTTGCGCATGCATGTATCGCAATCTGTGCTGCTAGTATGTATCCTTGCGGAATCACTTCATATTCCTGCACCAGAAGATGAAACAGAATGCGCAATGCGAAAGGTTAATGAAAGGATGAAGCAGCAAGCCAGTGTTTGTCCGTGGACGAATGGGGTAGCTGACTGAGTGTGGTAGTAAGGGATCGTTTTCGGGAACCTTGGTATCTTTTGACTGCGTGATAAAGGATGCTATGTGTAAGGTACACGTCCCAACAGGACCGTGTCTTTTGATAATCACACAACCACAGTTCCGATAACATATGTGGAACTGTCTGATTGAGGATCACATTGACAGGTTGATAGGCGTTACCAGGAGAGGCAGAGCGTATGGTCTTTGTAACGCTGCAGGGTTTGTAAAGTGGTTTGAGGATAGCACTGAACCATTACCCTGTGTGTCTATGGGACGAGTAGCTCGGCAGCTGCCACGGACCTCAGATGCAATAAATGTCCACAAACATGGGTTACGAGATCTGACTGCACCATGTCAGTTTTGCCTCATCTATTCGGGTGTGATGCCCACGTTGAAAGAGTTTGGTAGGTTCCGAGCTGATCGCGACACACATCCGCACACGTCTGGGTTCAACTCCTTTACACCCTGACTGTAGGGTAACTTGACAATTAACAATTAATTCCTACCATGATCGCTCTACCTTGAGCTGAAAGTTCTCAAACCGAATGACACAAAGATAGACGCAGAATTTTACCAGATTGCTCGGATTAAACATCATGCAAGACGTGCAACTCGCTTTAGCAAAAGTACACAGGGATTGGTGCTGATGTGGCTAACTGTGAAGTTGAGGATAACAAGCAGAAACATCGAGTACTATAGAAGCTCATAAAGTAAGGTAACAGAAGGACGAATGAATAAGTGCAAACCTTTTCTAGCGTGCAAGATATGGCTATATAAACTACGCCCATTCGCGATATGCAAATGAGTCTAAGTTATTTAGGTTTCGAAGTATTCGCCGCGCGTTTGGATTGTGATGCACCAACTGGATTGAAGCCGCGATCTAGTTTGCAGTAAACCCTTGTCATTGTGATTATTGAGGTTGCGTTTGCGCAGGATCAAGTAGAGCTCCGTAACTGAATACGAAGGCAAGGTGTCATATTCAACTGCACAAGGGAGGTCTAAAAATATATCCCACCATAATTGTGCACATTTCTACTTGGGTAAATAGACGTTGAATGAGAAAAGGAACTTCTTCTACATTATGTCCGATATTATGGGACCACATCCCACAGTTAAGCGAAGACTCGCACTTCCAACGCCGCGCATTGCGCTCCCCTACGAAACCCCAGCAGCTGCCTCAGTTTTCCGGCCATCCACTTAGAACGTGACACGCAGGTGCGATGGCTCAGCGTGCAGTTGAGTATGCGACAAACGCAGACGCAGTCGTGTACGCATTTGCAGTAAAGCGCAATATGCTGATTGCATGGCCCGAAACTTGAGGCAACCTCTCGAGTTATATTGAAGCATTCAACGTGAAGCATTGTGGATGCGTGTCTGCTGGATTACGGGTGTAGTTCCATCATGTCGGGCATACTGTATAAAAGTGTTGAAACCACAAAGGCTCCTGATGCGTAACGTCCACATTCTTGTTACGACGATGAGACAGGGATGTTGACAGCCGAATTGTGTTTGACACCCCTCAACTCCATTTACACTGTCCTGGTTGAGCATGTATGGACGTGAATACCTAGGTGTTAGGTATTAGAACAAGCACGAAGGAGCGAGAAAGCGGTCGAATTCTGCACCCGTGAAACTCCTGTCCTGGAGCCCCAGGTGACTGGCAAGCGTGGGTGTCTCCAGGTTAGATTGGCCGAGTAGATTAGTAGAAATAAAAGAGATGGGGATGGAGCGAAAATGCTCCTACTCAAGTTCGCGTATTAATTTGGGCTTTCATCTTGTCATGTACGCAGTTGAGTTGGTGGGCCCGCGCAAGGTGAGACTGAAAAAAAAGAAATTACTTGCGTTAAATTAAGAACGCGTACGCAGTGTACCAATACATCGTTCCAATGTTTTGGTACCAAGCGACCGACGATCGTCGCCCAAGGGTTGGAAATACTATGGTGTTTCCTTTAAGTACGCGAATTCGAACCAATGACCTAAGGATTACGACGCAGGCGTGCAGCTCTTCTGGTCACCTGCTAAAACTTAGTTACTTAAACAAATCTGTTATTATTTCCGCTGAAAAATGAAACACAGGCTGTCCCTTCATTGAAATAATTTTTTGCATCTTTTCAGATAAACTGTTCTTACGAAATGTCATTTTGAAAAGTATGGAGCAGTTTTCTGACCTCATCCTGAGCGAATTGTCACGTGCTTTATCGGAAGAAGACAGTGCACTTTCGTAGTATAGTGCCCACTAGGAAGGGAATAGCTTAGGGTAGCGATTCTTAAAACTAACAGATGGCCAGTCACGCGGGAGTCATTAAGATACCGTAACTGATACAATACTTATATTCTTCACTTTTTAGTAAATTATGGTGTATAGCATACTTTCTTCGAACTCATAATGATGTGAGCGGGTAAGGGTTAGAAGGAAGTATACAGATATCAAAGCAACTCTAGGAGAGAAACATAACCATATATACCTATACCAACCGCTCTTGTAACCTGTTAATGTCCAAAAAAGCGCAAGCGGTTCTGTCTAGCATATAGAATCGGGTTGAAAGATCTACCACCAGAGTGTACACACTGCAACACTTCATTACATTGCATTCAACTCCGAGTGAGTATTTTGCATAAAGTGTGTGATGTGACTGGATGATATGTCCAAAGGAACCCATCAGGCAACCAACTAAATCTACTGTACAGCACTTAGATACCTCCTTGTGGTGGCCGTGTTGTAACTCTTCTGCTTTCCCTCTGCTTTCTGTCACTGACGATTGTTGTACTGCTGCTAACTGCCCCTTGAGACTGCGACTGTCTGACTACTCAGTCACGCGCCCAGCCCACCAACGGAATACAGAAGGCCAAGGCTCAGTAGACAGAGAGTCTTACTGTATGAGAGCACGGCGCAATAAATAGCTAGTGGGCAACTACTTAAACAACAATATTGGAGATGCCAATTGGTGTTAATTAACGCAACTCAAATGGTTCAAGTTCGTGATCCAACTTGCCTCTGATTCCACATCGAGTCCCATTTTGATGTATAGTCGAGTTCGCTCTCTAATTGCAGATCGATCCACTTTTACGGCACTGCTCTCGGATTGATTGCTAGCTGTAAGCTCTCTCCGTAACAGGCAGATCTATTGTACACCTTTATCCTTCGTTACAGTGACTCCACTGATTTAGGGTTAATGGCAACTCCTGTCGGCGCAAACTCGCTTACAGACAGTTACTGTGATGTAGCAAATCACGGGAATGTACTTGGCTGAAAGCAAAAAGTCGACAGTTGGGGATGCCGGGAACCATAAGATTAGAGCTTCAGATTAAAGTGTTCATTTAGCTGCTTACCGGTTTGTCTCTACCAACCTGTCGCACTCCAAAAAGAATAGCCCTCATTAGAGAGTAAAAGGATCAAAACTATTGTTCGTATTCCGTAGTGGTCACAATTGCGTCTAGCTTCGTTGATTTAATGAGGGGTCTCCTTAATTTGTTAACGTAGTCTCGCGTCCGTATAGAACTCCGTTGTAATCGACATCGTTTTCATGCTGTACACACTGTAACCCATGTTAACGCGAGATGGGATCCCCCACCATACACTCCGTAGGTGGCGAACTCGTCAGTTAGTTATGCATCAGAAATTGTGTTCACGATGCAATGTCAAAGAGCGGAACATCTGTTTCTGTCTAACTAGGTGATACCATAGATGCGAGCCGCACACAATAAAGTAAAATAATACCTTGGCGTTATTCTTCCACAGAGGTGTCAATCGAGAACTATGCGATGCGAACGACAATCTATGCGCAGTATTGGAACGCAACGCCGATGTGGTGGAGAGAACTTCCGGAATCCGTGAGGCCACCACCGCGTCCGCACTTCTACATTCTAGTTTCAAACAATTCTTGCAGCAGTATCAATCGCATACGGATAAATTAAACGGTTCCGGCTTACGGATGGCCCACCTGGAACGCACCGCCTCCATTCAGTCGGATGCAACCGACTTTACAGCGGCAGAGCCTTTGGGACCAGCATTTCGCTCGACGCCCAACGAATTCTTCCGACGAAAGAGTAGTGTGCAGCGTGCACAATTTGGCACCATGTGGCAAATGGAAGCAAATACCGTTACGGCAGGGAACAGCGGAGACTCGTTTCACGAAGGTAAATCTGAAACATTTTTCTGATTTTTGTTAGTCTTACAAACTTTCACAGTGAACATTGAAGTTTCTATTTTATAGATAGTGGACTTTCGAGCCTCCGGGACGCACCTGAAGTTGAGTCAGAGGTCGAGTTGGAGTCTAACATCGGATCACCGTACTCCCATAAAATGACTGTAAGTCAGCCACTGCTAACATCTGTAGAACATTATACTGTGACAACTAGACGATTGACAACGGAAGTGTTAGATAGTAATGAACCCGCAAATAAAACACTCACCCGTCTGATACCGATCTGTGTAGCTTCGGTTCTGGGTCCGTTAGGGAACTGTTACGAGGACAGCCCAGACGTACTAGCATCGATTACCGGCGTAGACTCAGAACGCGCCGTACTGGTCGCATACGTATGACCGTAGCGTACAATGTTGCTTACCTAAACCTTAAATCGGCCCGAAGACATTCGTGTACATATGGCCAGTAATTTTTGTCCTTTTAAAATAATTATTTTATGTAAAAAGGACGGCAAAACAGCTACAAAGCACAGAACATGGTACAGGACTGGGCCACCCCATCGCCAGTTGTTGTTTTCGCCAAACGAATCCTCGAGGAGATGCACTATCTGTTAGGATTCTTGGAGTAAGATTGAACCGCTACTTGATTTCGCTTTGAAAAGACCCTAAACGGATGCCACTGCACAAGTTGTATTAGTGCAATGAACATAAGACCGGGCGAAAAACAAAGAAAACACACCAGTACACTACTTGTCATACAGTTGAGTCCATATTTCATTAAATAGGAACCCGGAGGCCGAAGTGATGTGGGTTTGTGTGGACAGACGATGGGAACAAATGTTGCACAGCACAAAACCACATTGTTGGGATTGTAGCTACAACTTGTTCGGACACTATGAACAATGAACAACAATGAACAATGAATTTATACGGGTTAAGAAGCGTTGCTTTACAAGTCCCGTTGGATAGTTGGTGGGGATATCAACATAATAATTATGATGAAAAGGATAGTAAAATAGTTAACACTTTAAATACGAAAATAAGGACTTATCGTTTGCTTCGCTACAGTCCTGCGATCCACTTAGATTCACAACACCCACAGTTAACAACAAATAATTCCATGGTAAACTCCAGGTGTAGGATGGAGACATAGTGTTAAGTAACAAAGTGTAAGTGGATGAGTGCATCGTCCAACCGTCTTTTAAATATTGTTAGTGTCGGTGCAGAGACGACCGATTCTGGGAGAGCATTCCACGGGTGACAGACACGGATGGAAAAGAAATTTCTGCGGCACTCCAGACGACTGTATTGTTCTGCGAGTTTTAATGAGTGGCCCCTCATGTTTGTATTGCTGCTGAGTTGCAGTAAAGGGCGGCACACATGATGTGGGTCTCGCAGAATCAAGTATGTCGTTGTCGTAAAACAGCACACTTGCTTTCTGCACAATTCAATGTTCCGATCTGGTGCACAGTTACGAAAAATCTAAGCTATTCTCCTTGTACCAGCCAAGTTACACTTCATGGACACTTCACCAGGCTGTCTTCCGTTTAATGACTACACATCTCTAGCGATGAAAACACAGAAGCGGTTACCGTACGTATATTTACGATGCACGTGACCTCCAAAGATTTCAGCCAATCACGAGGACGCGGGGAAGTATATATGTTCATCGGAAAACCGTTGGGCCTATAAAACTGATGCGGACAGCATGATTGTATAAATCAGACGGGTGACTACTATCCACTGAAAATATAAAGGGGTCGATCATTCCCGTCTGCGCTACTTGTGAAGTGTTGCCCAAATTTGCTGGGAAAATGGAGCAACCAATGATGTAAACAATTATTCGATGACTAATAAGGAGGCTTCTGGCAGTTTCCAAGTAGTCTGACATTAACGTTTAGAGTTCCACTGTGTGTTTGCATTGTAGCACCCAATCTCCGTTGGGAGTTCAGTTCACTTTTTAACTAGACTGTCACTTGAATCACTGAGAACACATCAGCAGTGGAGAACTGTTGCGGGCGCTGGCTTCCGTTGCTGAGCTGCGCGACCAGTCTCGTCCTCTTTCCGACTCGTCAGGTAGAGATAACCGGAATGGGGAGTAGACGTCGAGATGTAATATTTGACGACTGGCGTATCTCAGTGAAATGATGATCAAAGTGTCGCGAGTTCAACTTCTTGCTTTACACTTCCCTATCTAAAGTGTTCAAATGACGACGAACTCGGTCTTGAAACGTAGTGTTGAGAACAAGTAAAATCGAACCCTTCATTAACTGGCCCTGTGGAAATAGACAGTTTGATTGTGTAAGTGATATTCCTGGCATGCACACCAGCTATTCAATTGCGTTTGTGCTTTATCTGCAGTACATTCGTTTGGATGATTCATCAGAGGAAAAATCTTTAGGAAGTCTTGAATGAAGTACTACAAACGTTACTGGCTTGACAGTGTCGATCTCTTGAACATAGGCACCAGACAGATATAGTCGAGATTCCGAAGTTGTCTCCGATTTAATAAGGCTGGTACATCAACTGCGCATTCGCAATCGATCTGTGCGGATGTGCTGAACTGCGAGTTCTTTCGGAACCTTAAACTGTGCCTCGGTTTATCTGCTAATTTGCAGCTTTGCCACGACCATAACTCAGAACAGAAGCAATATAAAGAGCACAATGGATAGTTATGAGTAGTTGTAAACACCTTTGGTCTTATCTCCCCCTACAGGTAGAGTTGTTAAGTATAGTCAAAGCTGTACGATTTCAAACAGTGGGAACCTCATTCGCTTTTAGTATTGTCTAATCCAAAGTGAGTGAGTTGATCTGAGATGCAAGACAAGAAATGTTGATCAGAATACACCGCCGGATCCAAATTATATCGAGGAAAGCATCTTCGATTTGATATCCAGTATTTGGACAGCAACCAGAATTTCCCTGGAAGACGGCATTATCAGCATTCCATCTCCACGAAGTGCAAAATGCATGACTATCCAAGCAATTGGCGGTCCGAAAACCAGTATATTTATGCTACCTCTAAACTACGCAACAGAAGCATGCAAGCTCCTTAAGATGAGCCGGGCTATATCATATTCAACTGTCAATCACGCAGCTCTACGGTTGTCACCCATGGCGAAGTGGCACTAGCTGCTGGCATCCTGAAGTCATGGGGGTGGAATCCGGCAGGGTTCCGCTGGGAGGCGCACCACTGAGGAGACCCAGAAGGTCGAAACGCCGGCGACTGGCGCTTTTCCAGACTAGTCTAAGCCGGCTGATTGGGAGTGGCGACGATGAATTAGCTGGATTATACCAAAAACCCTCACTACTACTCAGTACTCATCCTTTTTGCCTAACCATGGATATTTGTAGTATAGTGCTCGCCATGAGTAACTAAGCTCGGGAGGTAGCAGAGTTCGCTAGAGATTTCTGCTGATCCACGGATTTCTTAGGGTTTACTTCGGCTATTCGCCAGAGGTCAACTTCACAATTTAAACCTTTGAATATCGGCCACAGCGTGTAATTAACAGATGAGTTCTAATAATGTATGCTTCTTGCTAAAACGAGATACAGACTTCCTGATTATGTCTAAGAGTTGTACAGAGCTTAGCGTGTGAAAATCTCAGCTTAGTTCGAGTACCAATGTTGGAATATGTACAAGACATAAATTGCATTTTAGACATATACTTGTTCCCGCTTTTTTCATAATTCACTCAAAGGACAACTCAGCAGAACTAATGAAGAAAGCGAGACGTTCCACACATCGACAAGCAAGTGTAGCCGAAGTCTCAGCTTGTGAGCAAGACCCACACGCCGTCAGCGTTAGCATGCACGGAGCCCCGGTAGAACGACGCATGGTATCACAAGCGGGCTCAACGGGTCAGCCAAAGACGTACGGTCCTGTGGCTTCTAAAGCAGCCCCAGTGGATGAGAAACTTCGCATCTTCCGCGTGATGTTGGCTGGAGACTCGGCAGTGGGGAAAACAAGCCTGCTTCTTCGTCTTTGTGACAATGCATTCAACGGGAAAACAGTTTCGACCATAGGTAAGTGTCAAGGAGACTGATGTGGCCCGGATGGGGCAAGTAGTTCGGGAGGGATGATATAGGATCAGAGGTCCCACATTCACCGCAGTCACATCATTTGCTGGTTTGATAAACTTATCTTCATGTATTTACTGACTTTATTCGAAACGCTGTTTGGCCTCAGTAGACGATGCCAATACGTGCCTGCGTTCGCAGAAGCATCAACAGGTTCTTGATGGTACAGAACACGATCAAACTGCTTGATTGTTCTACAACAGCATGCCAAACGTATGAGCAGGGTCCAGGTTTCATATGACCCAACATGTCTCACCATCATGCACTCTTCCGTGATTTATTTGTTTTAGATGAGTGAGAGGACGATTAAAGACCAGCCATCATGATTTCGATTCAGTCAACCCTTTATTATATCCTTCCAAATGTCATTGGCTAATCATATGATACTCAATTTTATTCATCCACCTGTGATCAGTGTTCTAATAAGAGCATCTGTTTACCCGGTCATGCCGATACAGGCATGTCTCGCATCATTGAGCATAAAAGGTAATTTGTTTACAGCGTATGACCTGATTTGTACCCAAGACTGGAAAGTATGCTTTGTAAAATTACGTCTCACACTTAGTCTAACACCGAAAATTGACAATGTCGTATGGCCTGTGTTAGGTCTGCGAAGAGCTGGCTATTCAACTCTATCAAGTCCGGTTGTGAACGACATAATCCTGCAAATTACAACAACGCAGCGAAGGGTTGGCATCGCATTACAATGAAAACAAATCGAGACAGGAGTAGACGAGTCACGACTACAGAAAAAGTTAATTGACTGTGGGTGGGAGCTGAATGGCTTGGATCCTGATCCATTTGCAAAAATAATGGAGATAATGAAACAACAAAGATGCCGAGCATTTCTATTGTCGACGTCTTATCATCAATCGGTTTGGCATCTACTGTGATAGTCGCAGAAGATGCGCTTCACACACATCTAGGATGGATGGATCTAGCTAACATGCTAGTCCTTAGACGCCTTATATGCCGACATTAGTAACCAAGCTTCATCCGAACTGGCTGTTAATTTGTTACGGCCAGCGCTTGTGCGGTTCACGTTGGACAGTGCAAAAGTCCTTGCTAAGTAAGACGGATCCTTGCGAACCCATTGGAGCGAAAAGCGCATCAGCTTATACTTGAAAATGTCAGCAATCAAATTGCTCATATCGGCGAAAGAAACATCTCTGCGCCTAACCCGAATTACAGTTATGTTGATTTATTGAAAGGACCGTTGGTTGAGTTCGAACAGCTTACGCTGACTAGAATCTGGCCTTTCCATGGTTGCGGATTGAAGGCCTTGGAGTGCGTTGCCAATACACAATACAATTATTGTGTTGGAACTTCGAGAAGTGGGCTGTCGCCAACCTGGCATGTACCTAAACGTAAAGCTGGACTGAGTTTTGTATTAATGCATTTCTGCTTGAAATCACGGAGTCCAGCCACATCAGTTGTTTGAAACTCACTAAGTCATAACTCAAGTAAGAAAATGGATATACTGTTGCGTTTAAAGCCCCACCTCTAGCTTTTACCCCTAATTAGCAAGGTTCGCTCTGTACCTTGTTCAGCAGAATTGTTCTTCCATCTCTGTGATGTCATGTATTATTTTGTCGGTTATTCTTGTGCAGATACTAGTCAATGCTGTAGGATTAGTCATACCTCGATGAAAGGATCGTAGTTCATTAGTTTAACTGAACTGAACAGTTGTCACGTGACCGCGGGAAATTCTAGTGTTCCCCGGAAGGACACTCTTCAACATAACTGCACCGTTCTGAGCACGTGCGTGTACAATTTATTGCAGGGATCGATATGAAAATGCGTCGCATAACGGTCGACGGGCGATCGACGGTGTTACAGTTGTGGGATACGGCAGGTCAGGAAAGGTGAGTGGCATGATTGGGCACAACTAGTCTGTTGTGTAGTGATGTTTTTATGAAAATACACTAGTGATATGTATTGTGCACATGGCGCAAATGGAAAAAATGATAGCCCGTACGTCCTAGAAGCATTTGCGATGTGTAATCAGATAAATTCCGGACTTTTCATTTGCAAATAGAAATAAGATTGGGAGACATGTAGTTGGGAGCCACGATTCATTCAGAGCCTTTCCACATTTCTCCAACCTACACATCATTCCTCTGAAGAGGGAAAACATGTGAAGCAGGCGCATATGGGGTGGTGGATGGTCCGTAGACTGTTTGACACTGCGTGAAGCAACTCTTTTACCTTAACAGCGTAACGAAAACTATGCATCCAGTCTCTGCTAGCAACTATGAACAGTCTCCTAGATCCAGTAATGGAGGTGGCGGTTTTGACAATGGAACAATGGATTCATCACGGATATAAAATTAAACGCTTAACAGTTTTCCACAGGTAAAGAGCTAGATCAAAATTGGACGTGTGGAAACCAAAAACGCGTAGCGGTGCACTTACCGCAAAGTTCGAGTTTGCACATTGTTTGGCTACGTTGCCACGTGTTCAACTGACTTGGGTTAACTCATGGAATGTAAGTAATGCAATGCATCATCAGGTCAAGTGTTATGTTCGGACAACGTGGGAGCAGGTATGACAAAATGCGGAAGTGAGGTACGCGAAAAGAGAAAATGTTCTGGCCGCATTCCAATGGGTTATACTGTGTCGCCATCTTCATGCGGTAGCCTCGCAGTGAGATGTTGTGACTGCGTTTCAATACGTGTCGGCATGGGCAGTAAGAGTTCTTGACGATATGACACACAAGTATGAGGTCACATCGCAGAAGACGACGCTGTTCACTAAAAACTCTCATCGTCTTTAGTCCCAGCTGGTAACTGAGGTGCAACAATCCCTTCACATTGTTGTCGCCCTCCGTTGTGGCTTTTCAAGAGCAGTGAGGTCATGTTTTTGACACTGGTGCCACATCTGAATTGCGTATTCACTGTGTGGTCGCATGTAAGCGTTAAGCAGTTGCGGCAGGAAAGTGGGATCAAACCGGTCAAACTCCGTTCGCAGTAGGCCCAAGTGTTGGCTGATTTTTCACCGCCATTTCAGTTTGCTTTGAGCATCCGAGCTAGTCCTGCACGAGCATTCCCAGACCACTTTCATGGGAAGCTCATTGCAGCACGTATTCCCCCAGTCGAAAATGGTAGCTGCTCTGATGGCGCATTCTTAGTATTTTTCACTTGGCAGAGTTAGACACGAACATGTTCTGGTTCGACTATTCCTAAGCCCTGTCGAGTTTACCTTGCAGTGCTAGTTGGTCGTCTGCTAATTTGCTAGCCCGCCAAATGTTGTGGTCATCCACAAAGAGTAGAAAGTTCGTCGTCAACAAGTCTTCAAGATTGTTTATGAACACGAGGAATAAGCTTGGTCCCAGTACCGAGCCTTGAGGGCCGCCACAATGGACCTATATGTTGTCGGACAGGGTGCTACGAAGCCGCACATAGAAGCGTCGTTGACGTTGGAAGGAATGAATTCAGCCTAGATTACGGTCACCGATCTCATAGCTCCGAAGCTTATGTAGAAGCATCCGGTGATCAAGGCGATCAAATGTCACCGAGAAATCAAGGCAGCCGGAGTCGACTCCTTCTTCAGCATCGACGGATTCCGTCCAGGTAGCACGGAATCACAGTGGTAGTTGCCTAAGAAACATCCACATTAAATGAAGTCAAACTGAGTATATCAATAAGCACACATATCAACTGGAAGCAAATAAGCACGCAGACACATGTGCAGACCAACTGCAGCGTTGGTGTAGCATATGCACCAATCCGACCGCATTATTGGGCTAGGTTAATAAACAAAAGTAGAAGTACCCGTTTTACTAGGCTCTGATGCTTACCTGTCAGACTTCCTGGTCACTTCGATATTAGCCCCTCAGACCCACGACAGTAGCTTACCAGATCAGCTTGTCTGGGCTACACACAAGCTCATGTGGTACAGCACTATGTGCTAGACGTCGATGCTCAGGCTACATGGGTCCTGTTAGCGTTTTCGTTCTTAGTGCTGCAATCCTTCCTGGTGCACGTGATCAACGGCGTACTTGATTTGGTCGCCTCATTGATCGCGACCCATTGCTACTCTTTCCCAATACTTAAAGGCAACGTTGTTTCGTGATAAACACACCTTAGTCACGTTCTGGTTGCTTAGCTTCGGTGTTCCCACGAGACGCTTCCCTGCACATAGTGGGCCTTACAGAAGCTGTTTCGGTATCCTCATCAAATGCATATAGCGGACAAATCGTATCTACTTCAGTTGTCTCAGAACAGCATGCAGTTCACTCCGTACATACTGCACCTGCGAAATATCTCCATGACATGAATCCTGTTTCACGGTCGCATTCGCAGAATTCAACGCAGGCAGTGCAGGTGAAATTGTTCGAGAAAACGGGTGTCCCTATTGTAAGGCGTCCAGTATTTTGCTGCCAGAGAGGAGAACCTCCAGCACCATTGATTTGTGTACAGTCAACTCGGTTCCAAAAGTCCACTAGTAGCTCTTCCACACCTGAGGTTCCAGCTTGTCGAAAACCGCACATGTCTGTGATACGTGGACACACAACTCGCTGGTTATCTGTAAGTTTATTGACAGAGAGCTAGCGAGGTAACAACATTTTAATGAGTTCTGCAAAACATCTCTGCGTTATTTTTATTCCACCAAAGATGACGGCTGAAAAAGACAGTTACACATGTGTTGATGGTGAGTACGAACTTGGCTGCCGTCGATGCGAAAGCCGTCTTCGTAGGTATTAAATCATCTTCGCTCTGTGAAAGCAATCTGCAGTCATGGGCAAATTGCAACCTCCGGTGGGCTGTCTCATGCACTCAGGTTCTCGCCCCGAAAGCGTGTATGTTCAGGAACCCGCCATCTATATGGTGCTCGAGACGGACACCGCAGTAGCAAGCATTGGGGGCAGTAGAAGGCATGGCAATTAGATGGTTATTAAACAGGACTGGCACCAAGACACGACTTTACTACCCATAAGAGGTAACATCACTGTCGTCCGAGGTTGGCGCTTTCAGCTGCACTCGCACCCGCATACCACTCTCCAGGTATTTATTGAAACAATGGAACAATTGTGTACTACGGGTAAACATAGCAATTGCTCATTAATTCCCGTCGGATGGCCATAATGACAAGCCCAGGATGGTGCACAGAAAACATAGTGATGGAATGAAAAGCCTTTTGATGAACTCACCACAGCGCTCACACACAGAGAGAGATGTAGAAAACAGCCAACCTCGATGGTGTAGGTTAATTCTGCTTGTGTTATGCTCATCGCATTTTGTCGCCTTTCTGTGTACACAGACTATATGTCGTAATGCGTGTGGGTTAGGACAACGCCAAGGCCATCTCTTAAGCACAGATAAAGTGTGTTCGGAAACAGCGTATTTTAGGAGGACTTTTCATTGCTGGCAGACATGAAGAGAGTACGAGATTCACCGACAATCTAGCTGGCTAGATTTGCGTGGCAAACTTGCACTGGTAGCCCCGCGACATAGTGTTGTGACTGAGTTGTAGTAGGTGGTGGCAGACGTGGCTAGGTTTTCACCAAATTTAGTGGGTCGTTAATAGGTCGCCAAGTAGGCGCCGATACTGACCGCTGTTATCAGACTTAGTTGATATGGAAGGTAGAACAATCCTTGGACGTGTCTGGTGGCTCTTCGCCGTGGAGTCTCTAGTGCGGCGACATCATGCATGTGCCAGGACTAGCAGGTCTGGATTGAGTATTCCACATGAGGTCTCACGTGTGTTACGAAACTGCGAACAGAGGGATGAAACCGTCCAAATTCCCTTTGCAGCATGCCAACGTGTTGTTCCCCAGTCTTTGACGCATTCTGATATTGTGCTGAGCAACCCAGATCAGCCTAGGTAGCTGCATGCAGGATATGGTATCCAAGTTAGTGTTTGATGTTCGGCTAATGACGAGTGTCGGCCACCATAAAATTAGACAAATTCAACTGTTGCAGGTTGTGAAGTGACCATTTATGCGGCCTGTCCAGGTTTCGTTGAAATGCATCATAATCTCCTTGCTTGGAGATCGTCCGCATCATCTTAACATCATCAAAAAACAAGAAATCTGAGGAAAGCACACGCGTAACCTCCTTGGTGAACACGAGAAACAGACGTGACCCCAGAACCGTTCCTTGTGGAATTCCACATCCGACGTGATTCGGATCGGAAAACGCACTCCGAAATGTGATCTGCAACTGTCGATTCTGTACAAAAAATCTGATCCAATCAAGGACAGGATCCCAAAACTCACAGATTTCGGGCTTGTGAAGCAGATTTCGTTGATCCAGGTGGCCGAAGGCTTTGGAGAAGTCGAGGTAAATAACATCTGTCCCCCTGCCTTTTTCGGCCACTTCCGTCTCAATACCGTGTGTAATCACAGTAGTTTGGTTGTGCGTGAAAAGTGTTGGCAGAAATCATGCTGCTCCGATGCTATGATATTGTAACGTTCTAGACGGTCGATGGAAGCCTCAGTGATGTTTATCTTCATCACCCTCAAAAGTTCAGGAAGAGGACAACTGAGCACTAGTTTGGGGGTTCCGAGGGATTGCTATTTTCGAAAATTGGCGTGATCATACCATGTTTGCACATGGTAAACAAAAGTTTCTTATCCAATCAACTTTGAAGGAGAAGCGCTAGTAGCTCGACCAGCCTTGTTGCTGCTACGTTCAGCGCCGTTTGGCGAAGGTCGTTGATTCCGGGCGAAATGTAGGTGTGCAGTGAGAGCAGTTTCTTCAACGCAGATGTGGCAGTGAGAACGATGTCGGTAACTGCTGAAATTACTGCTATGGATCTCTATATCTAACATGGGCGGATCTCCCCTTTGGAGGTCGGGGCAGACTGCATTCGTAGTGCATTGGCTGCTTCTTCAGCGCCCTGTGTCACATGCGCTTTCGAG